TTTTAATGCTAGGGTTGCATCTTTTCAAGATATTCTATTTACGGTTATTAGTGTCTTTTAGGATTACGCCATTTCAGAAAAACGGTTATCGTTTTTAATCTCTATGGTTGCATCTTTTCAAAAAGCACTGCTATATATATTTGTGTTTTTTCATTTATGATTACTAACTTTAAAATTCACTCAATGTGATAAAAAAATGTCAAAAATTATTTTAGAGTCTCACAATATTTTGTTTCTTTATTTAAATAATAATTTTAGAAACGTCTATCAATAATAGCAATTATGGGAAATATATTTTAGGGTTGTTTCTTTTAAAAAATAACCGTTTTATGGTTATTAACGCGAGGGATGTGTCTTTCCAGAAATTTTTTTTTTGATGGTTATTAGTGTATTTTAGGGTTACACATTTTTGAAAAAAAAAAGTTTTTATGGTTATTAATGTCTCGTAGGTTGCGTGTTTTAAAAAAAAATTGTTTTACGGTTATTAATATTTCTTAGGATTGAGTTTTCGAAAAATAAATTGATTTTTGGTTATTAGTCTCTAAGCATTGCGTCTTTTACACTTTTTATGGTTAACATTGTCCTTGAGAACTGTGGTTTTCTAAATAAACCGTTTTATGGTTATTAATACATGATTTGATTGCGTCTTCTTAGTAAAAACTATTTTGTGGTTATTATTACATCCTAAGATTGCGTTTTTTCGAGAAATTTGGTTTTATGGTTATTAAACCATCCTAGGTTTGCGTCTTTTCAGAAAAAATTGGTTTATGTAAAGATGTATCTTCTCGAAAAACTTTTTGATAAATTACATTCTAGGTCATTAATGCTAGGGTTTCGGCTTCTCAAAAAAAAAATTTTATGGTTATTAGTGTCTCTTAGGTTTGTGTCTTTTCGAAAAATTATTTTTAGTTATTAATGTCTCTTAGGGTTGCTTCTTTTNGAAAANCNNTTTTANNGTTATTAATGCATTNNAAGGTTGTATTTCTGAATAGTTATTGTTTTGTTGTTATTAATTCATCTTAGGATTGCATATTTTCTAGAAATTTCGTTTAATGGTTATTAATGCATCGTTGGGTTGCGTCTTTTAAAAAAATTGGTCTATGTAAAATTACATCTTTTCAAAAAACTGTTTTATTATTATTATGTTTCATATGGTTGTATTTTTTCGTAAAAAAAAACATTTTATAGTTATTAATACATCATAAATTTTCATCTTATAAAAAAACCGTTTTATAAATATAATGCATTATATGGTTGTGTCTTTTCGAGAATAAATCATTTTATGGTTATTAATGCATTTTAGTGTTGCGTCTCTTCGGAAAAAATGTTTTAATAGTTATTAATGAATCTTATCGGGTTGCCTCTATTCAAGAAAATGGTTTTATAATTATTAATTAATAATCATATAGTTGTGTTTTTTTAAAACTCGTTTATTGTTGTTAATTTATTATATCGTTGCGTCACATTCTCATAATATTTTGATCTTTTCATTTATAACAAATTTTCCATAATTCTAAAAAATAGTTTGTAGTGTTGTGCGTTTGCAAACACCTTTTCATCTTTTTATTTCTACCATTAAAAATGTT